CTCTTACTTCGACTGCAGCCTGCCAGAGTCATTTTAAAACGTCATTCCTATAATCTACAGGATAGCTCATTACGCGAGAATGTGACTTATTTTGTTTAACGTGCATGCCCTCTAGTATACAAGATGGTTATACAAATAGAAAACAGTGATGTTTTTTTTTTTAGTGTGATCTTATTTAGAGCGGTTTTCATTTGAGTGTCGAAAAGTAATTGGTTTTGCATCAACTACGCTACACCGACTTGGCTTAAAAAACTCGCGCCACTTTTTCATCCAATCTGAAGAAAAATCAAAACCAGTCGCGACTCACTCGCACTCGTTTTCCCGCGCTTTGCGTCAGCTACATGGAATTACTTCTTGTTTTGATTCGCTCACTGTTTTGTCTGTGCCATTTGTGATTGGTTAGAGTGATTTCTTTGGTTTTGGTTTTCCGACACTCAATTGAAAAATGCTCTATGAGTCAAAGTCACAAAATTGCGAAACTAAACCGCCATATCAAATGCGGAGCTGCTTTATAACGTTCACTTGTTCCAAGCTACAGAAATGTATGTCAATTTCTGCTAACAACTTTTAAACAGTTTTCCCTTGATTTATTTGTAGCTGTTGCCAAAACAAAGGGCGTAAGTAGAACAGGATTTTCCTTTTTCTTTGAAGACACATTGGGGTCGAAGACTTACGTTATAAATGCCACAAATAAAGGGGAGATCATGGTAGCCGCGGTAAGTATTTAGTAATGATCATTAGATAGACAATTTCTCAGTAAGCATGGCTACCGCTCATGTTTATCCAAACGAAGCTTGTTGTCTAATTTGTTTGGTTCGCAGCCAACAACACCAAAAAATGGCACGGCAAACAAAAGCTCTTAGAGTTGCAAAAGCAATATGTTTTGGAGCTGATAACAATATAATGTCGTGAGAACCTGAGTAGAATCGGTAGTGCTAGGTTATGAAGCTCAGCGCCTGGGGTCAAATGTTTCGTATGGCACTTTTAAACGATTTTAACGGTTTTAATGTAGTTAGATCACTTTTACATAAGCATTGAAGGTCTATGTCAGTGGTGAGAGTGGGGGTGGGGGTGGGGGGCGGGGGGGAATGGTAAGCGTAATGTATTTCCCACCGAGGTGTACAAATGGATAATGGGGAAGGTAATGGACCAGGGAGCAGCAGAAAAACTGTTAGACTAAATCGATTCATGCTTCCAGTGGTGCATCCAGTGGTGGAACTTGGGATCTTGAGTGAAAAAAAAAAAAGTATCACAGAAGGAAGAAAAGCCGCCAGGACAAGCAAAAAAAAAAAAAAAAAAGAATAGCAGAAAATAGCAGATTTTGGTCTTTTAAAAAGGAGCTTGGGATGTGCGTCGCATTTCCCCAGCCAGAGTTTCTGGGAGTTTCCCTCAGGGCTATACAGGTCCTTGAAATGTAGATGCTGATTCTGACTTCACAAATTTGTTAAACAAAAGTAGCAACCAAGAGCTAATTTTCCGGACCGACTCAGTAGTGCGGATCGAATAATAAAGTAGCAAAGAGGAAAAGAGGACGAAATAAAAAAGCGATAACTGAGGTTTCTATTTTTTCCATACATTTGTCTGTAAAGCTTAGTTGCAATTCGCGGGAAAACTTAGAGACAGTGGCATGAAAAATTAAACAGGGACCCCGGTGGAGGGTGGGGGGTGGGGGGCGGTAGGGGTGGCTTGCAGGGAAATAGCCCTACCTTTGTTTTGCATGGATTGATTTTTTAGGGCTCCAGATGACATGGAAAATGGCCTGCAAATGCGTGATTAAATGTGGGAACAGTGACTCCTAATGCTTCTTTGTCTTGGCCAGATATTTTAGCCCTATCACTTTGGCCGCGTTCGCCCCCCAAATCCAAGATGGTATCCGGAAACCGGCATGGAAGCCTTCAGAGCCGCTTTTCAGTTTCACCCTCCCCCTGATGCGGGTCAATGCGCAATTGTGCAAAGAGCCATTTGATTCTTCTCGAAATAGTTCGGATGCTTTAAAAATGGTTGTGAGGAGTATGGGTTGTTT